ATAAGTAAACAAAAGCACCATAAAAGTGGACCATTATTGCTGTGGCGTTAGGATAAATTTGGAATGCTGCTCATACCGTATATTCTGGAAACATTTAAGAGGGATGGGGGAGAAATTGCCCAGTAACAGTAACATCTGATGATATTGGAGAAGGAGCTCGCCTAGTTTCAGAGTAACATCCAAGTACTAATGCTTATATCAGTGGGGGACATTCCTTCATATCCCACCACCAATCTTAGTGCAATTGACATTGAAGAGTGGGTATCAGTGACAAGTTGATTCACAAGTATTGTTTTGAGTTTTGCTAGAAAGTCAAGGGACAATAGCAGAAACTAGAACACACCACCATGATGGACAATCAAGCCTTTTTTTTCCTACATTTTATTTATGTTACTGTTGTTGTTGAGAATATACACAGCAAAACATACACGAATTTTGTTTGTTTGCTTTTTTTAGAAGCTGTGAATTAGTCTGTTTTTTTTCTTTTTTTTTTAACATAATGCGGTTTTGTAATTTTGGAGGTATGTTACAGGAATCCTAGAAATGCAAAAAGGAATTCATGTGGAAGCAAAGACTGTTTGTTAAAAGGATGAGTCTATATTCTTCTCCACTTAATGATATAATCTTTATTCGTCTTCGTGATCTAAGTGGAAAGGTTCCATTTGTGTGTTTGCTTTCCCTGATCCCCCCAAATGAGACAAGACTACTCTGCATGCTGACTTTTATATGCTCCCAGAGACACCTGTAGCGGCACTGATGGTTCAGTGGTAGAGTTCTCATCTTCCATGTGATAGAGCCAGGTTCTAGCCAATGCACCTCATGCACAGCCACCACCCATCTGTCAGTGGAAGTTTGTGTATTGCTATGATGCTGAACAGGTTTCAGCAGAAATTCCAGGCTAAGAAGAAAGGCCTGGTGATCTACTTCCAAAAAATCAGCCAGTGGAAACCCTAGGATCATAATGGTCTAAACTGCAGCCAATCATGGGGATGGTGCAGGACCGGGCAGCATTTCGTTCTATTGGGCCCGGGGTTGCCATGAGTAGGAGGCTGACTTGACGGCAGCTAACAAGAAAGAAACCTGTATTTTTCCATGAAGGAAAAATTTAATTTTGGTTAATCTGTTCATTAAGTGATGGTTTGTAAATTCCTCTCTCCTTTGGACGATAATTTTAGCTAACTCTTGTTGACCGCTTATCCTGTGTGGCACCATTTCTATTACTTGATATGCGTTATTCCATTGAATCCGCACAATGTATTATTTCCCACATTTTTCTAGATGAGAGAACGGAGGCCCACAGTGGACATGGAAAATGATGAGTTACACAGCCAGTAAATGGCAGAGCCAAGAATTTGACCCAAGTAAAATGATTATAGAATGTGTTCTTTTAACCACTACATTATAGTGTTTCTCTGTAAGCTTCGGGGCAATGCCTACCAAAGTGCTAACTGAATCCTAGGATTTTAATGAGTATTTGTGAATGAATGAATGCATGGATGAGTGAGTAAATGAATGAATGATTTCACTAATTCTTACCTCAGTAAGTGGCACCTGCCCAGGAGGGTGGATCATACTCTTATGTTATAAAGCACTTAACTGAATTTTGACTGACGGATGAAATGACCCAAGAATTGTGTGCTCCCTCTCTGTCCTGGATTCTCATGCTCCAGATCCCTGGAGAAATGTCATCTCCATTAATACCTATGGGATGAATGGTCTACTGGCCCAGGATTTGAGGGCAGAATTAGCTGATTAGAAGGTTAAGGTATAACTGTAGGCACAGGGTGCCTGGAGGCAACCTTTGAACATTTGCTGTTTAACTGAATTAGTGTTGGCAGTTATAGATTTTCTGCTTGCAAAATTGCCAGCAAATTATTCTGAGTCCTGCATCTGCATTCTGTAGATGTGCTTCATGGGATGTCAGCATTGTGATTTCCTCTGAAGTGATCCAACCAGAGCCTGCTCTTGACACAAGGGAAAATTTTATGAGCAGAACTGCACAGATGCTGGACTAGAACATCCTTCCCCCTTTTATTTGAGAAAGATGATGTCAACCAAGAGGATGACTCCACCATTTCAGTTTCTCTGATGTTTCTTAGGCCACCACACCATGAATCTCTGGAGATTGATTCTTGCTATCATTCCTTAGGATTCAGTGCATTTCAGAGGACTGGTATTTACAGAAGGAGCTCTAGTAGGACAGTCATTAAACACTTGACTGCTAACTGAAAGGTTGGCAGTTCAAATCCACCAGTTACCCCATGGGAGAAAGATGTGGCAGTCTGCTTCCATAAAGATTTACAGCCTTGGAAACCCTATGGGGCAGTTCTACTCTGTCCTATGGTGTCGCTAGGAGTCAGAATTTAACTCAGTGGCAATGGCTTTGGTTTTGTTTTGGCATTTAGAGAGGAGCCCTGGAAGAACAGCTTCCAACCTTCCCTGCACTCCTTTGAGTTCTTTGGTGGAGATGATAATGAGTTTTCTTTGACGGCCTTTGTGCAGTGGTTAAAAGTGTGTGTTCTGGTATCTAAGTTTGGTTTTCCTGGATGTAGACTGTAAGTCATATATCCAACTGCAAGTAGTTCATATGGGAGATGATCTCAGAAAATATCAGTAGGGGATGAGGAAAGAGAAGCCTGCTAAAGAAAGATGAGTCATCAAGCCAGCTACCATTGTGGACGACTGGAGATCAATTCCAAGTGGAAACTGGAAGATAGAGTTATCCCACCCGAGGGATGAGGGAGTTGGGGTATTTACACACCAACTCACAGGTGATTGGTAGAGTGCTGCTTCTGGAGATGTTAATTTCCAAGCATTTTCAGCCTGCATTATGCTCAGATAAAACAGCCTTCCTCAAGTTTTAGAGAATTATCTTAAACAAAGAGATACTAAGTCCTGCCTTGACATGGAAGTCTTGGGCATGGGCGGACAGTGACTGACCATGTGCCAAGTGAGAAGATATTAAACCTGGATTCAAATCCTGGCTCTCCCCTTCCTAACTGTCTGATCTTGGGCAAGCTTGTTAACCTCTAGAGTTTTATATCCTTCCTTTGTAAAATGCATCTTGGAATGAAACATACTTCATGGGGTTGTGGTGGAGATTAAATGAGATAATGCATATAATGAGCTTTGCACAGTGCTTGTTATATAAAACCCATTGCCTTCAAGTTGATTCTGACTCATAGTGATCCTATAGGACAGAGTAGAACTGTGCCATAGGATTTCCAAAGCTGTAATCTTTACAGAAGCAGACTGCCACATCTTTCTCCCACAGAGCGGCTAGTAGGTTCGAACTGCCAACCTTTCAGTTAGCAGCTGAGCTCTTAACCACTGCACTACCAGGGCTCCTTGCTTATTTAATAGCAACTGTCATGTTTTGGATTGTGTCCCCCCAAAAATGTGTGTATTAATTTGGCTGGGCCATGATTCCTGGTACTGTGTGATTTTCCTGTATGTTGTAAACCTGCCTCTATGATGTTAATGAGGGAGGATGGGTGGCAGTTGTGTTGGTAAGGCAGGACCTGATCTACAAGACTGGACTGTGGCCTGAGGCAATCTCTTGAGATATAAAAGACAGAAGTGAGCAGTGAGACAGGGGGACCTAATACCATCAAGAAAGCAGTGCCAGGAGCAGAGTGCATCATTTGGACTGGGGTCCCTGTGCCGAGAAGCTCCTAGTCTGGGGGAACACTGATGAGAAGGCCGAGAGAGAGAGAAAGCCTTCACCTGGAGCTGACACCCTGAATTTGGACTTTTAGCCTACTTTACTGTAAGGAAATAAGCTTCCCTTTGTTAAAACCATCCTCTTGTGGTATATCTGTTGTAGCAGCACTAGATGACTAAGACAATGACCTTATAGGACAGAGTAGAACTGCCCCATAGGGTTTCCAAGGAGCACGTGGTGGATTCGAACTGCTGACCTTTTGGGTAGCAGCCGCAGCTCTTAAAAAAGTACTATGCCACCAGTGTTACATGCTTGTTATATAGAAGAGCTAAAAAATGCTGCCTTTCATTTTTTAACTATTATGGAGCATCTTCTCTGTGCCAGGGTATATAGTGGGTGCTTGGTATAAAAAGGTAGTTAAAAGGGGTAATCCCTATCTTCACGGAGCTTGTACTCTTTGGTTACTAAACCTTATGACTATTTCTTACTGCATACTAAAGATTTCATGTTTCCCAGGAGAGGGCCACATACTTTTATTACAACACATTTAACTTTATTTTTGACACCTGTATGAAGTATCCTAAGGATTTAGGACAAAACTGAACTTTTGTAAGCAATTATAAATTTAAAAATTTATAGTTACCAAATTTACAGATATATAAAGAAACTGGTGAGATTAATTTTAATAATATATCTAGCCCAATGTGTAAAATACTATTTCAACGTGTAATCAATGTAAAAATTATTCATTATTTTACTTTTTTGTATTTAGTCTTCAAAATCCAGTATGTATTTTACGCTTAAAATATCTCAGTTTTGGACCAGCTACATGGCAAGAGCCCAGTAGCTACATGTGGCACATGGCCTCCATATTGGACAGTGAAGGTCTAGTGGGCCCTAGACTCTTTTTAGAAGCAACTTCTAATGGAATATTTTAATTTTCCTTCCCCCCTCTTCATAGATGACAGTGCTCCTTTGCATGTATGATATTGAAGTTGATTTTAGCCCAGGCATCATATAAAATTGACAGTTTCTGTAATGAAATTTCACACATGGAAACCATGGTGAGAATCTTAACAGGTGTAAAAATTTGACAAAGTTATTCCTTTAACTGCAACTTAATGGAAACTGCAGCAGCTGTTCTCATTTGCACGTTTTCCAAATCTCACTGCCAAAGCGAATTGTTGGCAGCCACAGAAGAAGTATCAACTTACCTCTTCGTTTGGGAGATGAAAGTACAACCTCAGCTCATTTCTAAAAGTCATAGATTTGGTAAAAGTTTGCAGGGCAAACACAGAAGTCGCTATTAAAATATTGATGTCTTCGATTTTCTCAGGTGCTGCTGCTAACATCTGCAGAAGATTTGGATTGCACTCCTGGATTTCAGCAGAAAGTGTTTCATATCGAACAGCCAGCTGAATTCATCAAGGACCAGTCGATTCTAAACTGTAAGCAATGTCACTTGACAACACTTTTGGCCTGTTCTCCTATTTGCATTCTTCCCTGTCTAGGAACGTGTCTCAGTATGTGCTATTCCCTAAGTGTTTTCTGATCATTTTTCTTACGTCGCTGCTTGACCCAGGGTGGAAGGTCTTGACTTAGGGCCTTGCCAGATTTGAGGTGAATAGAGTGGTCAGTGTGTCTCTCCCTTGAGTATTTTATCATTGGCAGGCATTCACCATCTGCCCCCAGGAAAGGGCACTGTCCGTCTCCAATGTGAGTACCGCACGGCATACAAGAAATGAAGTCTATTTCCCCTGGGCAGACCCCTGAGAACAAAACAATTGCCTTCCTAGACTGGTGTCCTATCTGGAGTTTCCCATATACAACATTAGATGAAAATAATGGTGACAGCAGGATTGTGGCTTCTGGGAATTTTCAGACACCAGAATTCAAAACTCTGTTTATTGAAGCTAATAACATGGTCTTCAGAAAGATTCAAAACCTTTATTGGCTATTCTGTGGATTAAAATAAAATCCTACATGATTCCAACTGATTTCCTTAAAATGTGTACCTCTCATGTCTGTGACTATAATTTCTTCCTATTTTTAATGTCAATATTGTATTATTTTATCTTTATGAGGGCATAGGGTATTTTGCTAAATGTATAACAAGCACAGTTTTAGTGCAATAGAATTTAAAATTGATGGTAGACAAATAACCATTTAATTGTAGGCTCTTAAGCACCATTTTTTAATATTTGTGGGATAGAAGATATGAAAACAGTGGTTTAATTGCCTGGATGCTCTAAGTCCCTTTAAGGAAAGTAATTGCCCGTTTGCCATTATGGTCTCAGGTTTGCCTTCCAGGCTAGCCACGTTCTTTCATGCCTGTGCTATGTGGCTAGCATGTTTAAAGAAACAGAAAAAAGAAAAGGAAAAAAAAAAAAAAAAAAGGCCCGCTTGACTGGATCTTTCTATGTGGCTGAAACACATTTTAAGAGTTGAAAGGAACACAATAATGAAGATGCAATGCTGGGCACCAAGGGAACTGTCCAAGGTGAAGCCCATGCACACGTTGATGCAATTACACCAATGAAATCATTGCAATAATTAGAGTCTGTAATGACAAGGTGCAGAACTCAAAGAGTGAATTCTAATATGTGATTTCATGTTAATTTGATCCCTGAGCATGACTCCTGGATCAGACTGACAGGAACCCTCATTTGTCTTTTGAATATTGTATTTATCAGAATCAATATATTTCAAATGGAACTTGGTTTAAGAGAACAATTTTTCTGCCTCTCCTCTCCTCCTTCCTTCTTTCATCTGTTTTTTTTCCCCAAGCGATTATCCCAAATGGCATCTATGTTAACATGCTTGGAAATAGGAAGCCACCCTGAGTATGGAAATTAATAGAGTTGGTATGCAAAGCAGGCCCATAAATGTGATTGCTTCTGTAATCTTCAGGACACCAAACAGCTTTTAATTCACCTCTGAGAAGCTGGAAACGATCATACTTTGGGGGATCTTTTTAATTTAAACTAGACCGTACTGTACATTCCAATATCACAGTTCTGTGTTTTGTTTTTGTTTTCTTAATCCTCTTAGTAATTAAGTGGGTTATGGTTGTTTGTTCTGTGTAAGCTAGTAAATGCTATTTGGAATTGGGTTGATCATCAGTGATTGCACATTCAGGAAAAGTCAGTGATATGGGGACAGAGGACATTTAAATTTTATATTTGTGTGTGAGCTGTTGGGTCAGCAAATTCTGACCAGCCCCCTCTCAGTGAAAACTTATGTCCATGCATGTTACTAGGGTGAAAAATGCAAAGACTGGGTCTGATTAGGTACTTTTAATTTCATCTCAAAGCAATGAATATAGGTTGTCTTATTTTCTCCGTACTGTGAGACGTGGGTAATTTCCACCAATATCCCTTCTTCAGAGAAATGTTGTGAATAAAAGCCTGTTGCTGTCAAGTCAATTCTGACTCTTAGTGACCCTATAGGACAGAGTAAAACTGCCCCATAGGGTCTCCAAGGTTGTAAATCTTTATAGAAGCAGACTGCCACATCTTTCTCCTGCGGAGTGGCTGATGGGTTTGAACCACCAACCTATAGGTTAGCAGATGAGCGTTTAGCCACTGCACCACCAGGACTCCTTATGAATATAGAGTCACTATGAGTTGGAATTGACTTGACAGCAACGTGTGTGGTTTATCTGGTACCTAAATAAGGACGAAAGCTTTCACGGTCTTGAGAATGCCTGCTATGGTTTGAATTGTGTCCCCGCAACCCCAAAATGTAAGTAGTAAATCCTAACCCCCATACCTGTGGTTATAATCCCATTTGGGAATGGGTTTTCTTTGTTATGTTAAGAGGCTTTATCAGGGTAGGGTGTATGTTCAGCCAGTCAACTTTTTTTTTTTTTTTTTTAATTATTTGTGTGTTAGGTAAAAGTTTACAGTGCAAGTTAGTTTCCCATTCAAAAATTTATGCACAAATTGTTTTGTGACATTAGTTGCAGTCCCTGCAATGTGTCAGCACTCTCGCCCTTCTCCTTTCCACCCTGGGTTCTCTGTGTCCATTTGCCCAGTTTTCCTGTCCCTTCCTGCCTTCTCGTCTTTGCTTTTGGACAGGTGTTGCCCTCTTGGTCTCGCATACTTGATTGAACAAGAAGCATGATCCTCACATGTGTTATTGTTGTTTTATAGGCCTGTCTAATCTTTGCCTGAAAGGTGGACTTCAGGAATGACTTCAGTTCTCAGTTAGCAGGGTGTCCGGGGGCCATAGTCTGGGGAGTTCTTCCAGTCTCTGTTAGATCAGTAAGTCTGGTCTTTTTGTGTGTGTGTGAATTCGAATTTTGTTCTACATTTATCTCCCTCTCTGTCCAGTACCCTCTGTTGTGTGATCCCTGTCAGAGCAGTCAGTGGTGGTAGCTGGGCGCTATCTAGTTCTTCTGTGTTCAAGCAGGTGGAAGCTATGGTTCATGTGGTCCATTACTCCATTTGACTAATATTTTCCTTGTGTCTTTGGTTTTCTTAATTCTCCTTTGCTCCTGCTCCAGATGGGATGGGGAAAATTGATGTATCTTAGATGGCAACAAGCAAGCTTTTAAGACCAGACACTACTCACCAAAGTAGAACATAGAACATTTTCTTTATGAACTGTTATGCCAATTGACCTAGATGTCCCCCAAGACCATGGTCCCCAGCCCTCAGTAACTTGGTCCCTTAAGGTGTTTGGATGTGTCTAAGAAGCTTCTATGGCTTTGCCTTAGTCGAGCTGTGCTGACTTCCTCTATATTGTGCATTGTCTTTCCCTTCACCAAAGTTACCTTTTGTCTACTATAGAGCGAGTGATTTCCTCTCCCTATCCCTCCCCTCCCTCATAACCATGCAAGATTGTTGTTTTTTTCTGTGTGTGAGCTTTTTCGTCAGTTTTTATAATAGTGGTCTCACACAATATTTGTCCTTTTGTGATTGACTTATTTCACTCAGCATAATGCCCTGCAGATTCATCCATGTTGTGAGATGTTTCTCAGATTCATCATTGTTCTTTATCACTGTGTAGTATTCTATTGTCTGTACATACCATAATTTGTTTATCCATTCATCTGTTGTTGGGAACCTAGGTTGTTTCCATCTTCTTGCTACTGTGAATAATGCTGCAATGAACATGGTGTACATATGTCTTTGATATTTCTATTTCTAGCATTTTAAGGAGGCACCATATCATTTTCCATAGTGATTGTACCATTTTACACTCCCACTAGCAGTGCATAAGAGTTCCAGTCTCCCTGCAACCTCTCCAACACTTGTTATTTTCTGTTTCATTAGTGCCAGTAATGTTGGGGTAAGATCATATCTCATTGGAGTTTTAATTTGCATTTCTGTAATGGCTAATCATCATGAGCATTTCCTCATATATCTGTTAGCTACCTGAATGTCTTCTTGGTGAAGGGTTTGTTCATATCCTTTCTCCAGTTTTTAATTGGATTGTTTGTCTTTTTGTTGCTGATGTGTTGAAGTATTCTATAGATTTTAGAGATTAGACCCTGGTCAGATATGTTGTAACCAAAATTTATTTCCCAGTCTGTAGTTTTCTCTTTTTACTCTTTTGGTGAAGTCTTTTGATGAGCATAAGTGTTTAATTTCTAGAAGCTCCCAGTTATCTAGTTTATCATCTGCTATTTCTCCATTGGTAGTTATGGTTTGCGTTCTATTTATGCCATATATTTGGGCTCCTAGCATTGTCCCTATTTTTTTCCATGATCTTTATTGTTTTAGGTTTTACACTTAGGTCTTTGATCCATTTTGAGTTAGTTTTTGTGTATGGTGTGAGGTACAGGTCCTGTTTCATTTTTTTACAGATGGACATTCAGTTTTGCCAGCACCATTTGTTAAAAAGACTGTAATTTCCCCATTTAGTGGACTTTGGTCCTTTGTCAAAGATCAGTTGACCATAGGTGGATGGATTTATGTCTGGGTGTTCACCTGTGTTCCATTGATCTATGTGGCTGTTATTGTTCCAGTACCAGGCTGTTTTGACTACCATAGCTGTATGGTAGGTTCTGAGATCAGATAGTGTGCGATCTTGTACTTTGTTCTTTTTCTTCAATAATGTTTTACTTATCCAGGGCCTCTTTCCTTTCCACATAAAGTTGGTGATTAGTTTTTCAGTCTCGTTAAAGAATGCTGCTGGGAACGCACTGCATCTGTAGATCACTTTGGGTAGGATCGGCATTTTCACAGTGTTGTGTCTTCCTACACATGAGCATGGTATTTTTTATATTTATGTAGGTATCTTTTGGTTTCTTGCAATACTGTTTTGTAGTTTTCTTTGTATAGGTCTTTTACCTCCCTGGTTAGATTTATTCTTAAGTATTTTATCTTTTGGGGGGCTATTATAAATGGTATTGTTTTCCTGATTTCTGTTTTTGAAGTTTTTGTTGTTGGTATATAGGAACCCAACTGACTTTTATATGTTGATCTTATGTCCTGTTACT